TGTGTGTGTGTGTGTGTGTGTGTGTGTGTGTGTGTGTGTGTGTGTGTGTGTTTGTGTGAGTGAGTGAGTGTGTACGTGTGGGTTTGTGTTTGTGTATGTGAGTGTGTTTCTGTAGGTATATGCGTGTGTGTGTTTGTGTGTGAGTGAGTGTGTGTGTGTTTGTTTGTTTGTGCACGTGCGATGGGATGTATTTTCGTGCATCTGCAAATCAGTGAATGGGTGAGAACGGATCTCTGTAACCTTTTCTACGTCTGTTTGTTTGAGTATGTCTGTGTCTGCGTCTTTTTGTTGGTGTCTCTTCACGCATATAGTGGCCCTCGTGGGTGATGGGAATGTGGGTGATGCTATTCATGTCTGCGTGGTGTGGGTGTATATTTGATGTTGTGGGAGTCTGTTAGATGGCATTCGTGTGTATTTGCACATTGCAGCTTTTTTTAAAAAGAGGACAAAACCAAAGAGATCTTGACAGCGTGATAATATTATAGAGCATGCTGGCTTAACCCATAAACAGTGAGGGTAATATTATATAAGCAATAGAGGGAGGGAGAGAGAGAGAGAGAGAGAGAGAGAGAGAGAGAGCGAGAGAGAGCGAGAGAGAGAGGGAATGAGAGAGATTGGGAGGGGGAAGGGCAGCAAGATCCAGGAGAGACATCATTATGATGTGAGAGAAAAAGACAGAGAAACTTGACTAGAGAAGACATTAAGGAGAGGAATAGAGAAGTAAAATTCTACTGTATAATTGATTCAAATATAAGATATTAATATTTTATTATGAAACTTACATTGACTATGAAAGTTACATTACCAGTGCGTTTAAGGTCTGCTATAAAAAGAAATGTTTTAAACATATAGAAACATTTTCAGATAATGCGTTATTGTCACATCACATCTATCTGCTTGCAATATGTTAGACATTACGTGGGGGCTCTTTTGGTCTCAAGGTACGGTATTCTCATTCAATAGGTTCAGGATTTGAAAATGTTCTTCTTTCTCCTCCTTTCTTGTTCTCTAACCATGTTCTGTTGTTTGCTTCGGTCTCCACTCCCCCCCCCCCAACCTTTGCGCCCTGCTTTGTCCCTTCCTCTGGGCTCCTGGCTCTTTCTGAGGCCTTTCTACTGCTACTTCGTGACTCCTTACTGCTGTCTTTCGGCCACACCCCTTATCTTAGTGCAGGTGAGACCTTCTAGGATAAGGGCGAAAGTAATCTTGGAGGTCCCATGAGCAAGTTCCTCATTTCAAAGATCCCTCAGTAGTCCTAAAATCAATAAAAGTAGACTTCGGCCGGAATCGGGTCAATTCATTAAAAATCAATTCCTACGAAACGAATAATAGTATGCTTTATGTGTCCTACGCGCTCATAATATAACCTAATGCGGTTGCAAGGGCCTTAAACACTTGCCGAATATAAGACATTACGTTCATGTTGGTGACACTTTTGCTGACCACAAAGCCTGACCTGGCGCTGACGTGATCTCGTTTGTCCATGTTCCAGAACTACCGGTTCCTGGACCTGCTGCACGTGCTCTGTGTGTGCGATGACGTGGCTATCCCGAACAACCAGAGCTACATCGTGGAGAGGTGGCTGCAGTGTGAGCAGGTGAGAGGGAACTCATAATGTCGTATGTATGTCTTTGGAGGGAGGGAGTCGGGGGGCTGGGGGGGAGATTGAGAAATTTTAAGAAAAAAGAGCACCTAAATCAGAACCTTGACGTGGGCAGTCTTTACTGATATTTTGAAACAGAGCAAAACTACATTGTAAGATGCCCCTTGATGTTTTTGTGTGAATAACGTCTTTATCTGAAAACCCGCGGAAAATTGATGTGTGGGTGATTGTGGAGTGACGCTGGAGGTGTACAGTTTCAATCTGTCTTTGGCAAATTAAGGGACGTACAAATGTAATATTCAGAGACACAGGCTCAAGGCCAAAGGTGGGGATCAAGTGGGAATAGAGAGAGACACACAGAGAGAAAGAGAGAGAGAGAGAGGGAGAGAGAGAGAGAGAGAGAGAGAGAGAGAGAGAGAGAGAGAGAACCAGAGTGAGACAGAGGGGGGGGATAAGGAAGAGGTTTAAGGGGGGAGGGGGCTACACCTGGAGGCTATCTCGCTTATTACAGGACCGAATTTTACCAAATTTCACATATATAACAAGCATAGTAAGGAGTCTTAAAATCCGCAATCAACTTTGAGAAAAAAGTTTCGTTTCCATGGATACGCCGCCATATCGGATTTTATTGACATGTCTTACGTAATGAATACCCCACTTATCGCTCATGGAAATTGATTGGGTTTTTTGCATTGGTGTTATCAAACATTAGATCTAAAAATTTGTCTGTTGTTTTTTTCCTAATCGAATTAGAAAATTTTTAATGAATTTTTTCCTTAGGTAGCATTCAAGTTTGAGAAAAATCCGTGAAAATCCACCCTCCAGACACCACGAACAAAAATCCATTCCATATATAAAAAATTCAACAAACGCATTTTAAGTATTACCTCTTCTTTTCATTCTGTGAAAATTTCATGAAGATTGGGTGAAAAATGGTGGAGTTATTCCAAAAAATATAGAGAAAAGTCGCATTTTGAGAAAACGGCCGATTAAGAAAAATAAAATACTGACTTCATGAGGAAACGGCGGTTACAAACATGCCCGGTATGGGAAAACATACGGTTTTTGAGGGTTCTTATGCCATGAAATAGTTGTACGACAGGCTGAAAAAGCTAAAAATGCCTACAAAGGAAATTCCATGATTTTGAGCCGAATTTTGATTTTGGGGGTGCAGCCCCCTCCCCCCTAAAGAGAGAGAAATAGAAAAAAGGAACAATACGAGAACTTTGGAGAAAGAGAAAGTTTCAGTCCAGAGAAAAAATTATCGGATGAAAAAAATATATTTTGGGTCTATAAATGCACATTCCCACCTGGGCCTGTTGCATGGACTTCTGTGTCCCACATATTGCCGTGGCCAACTGGACTTGGAAGGTACATGAACTTCCAGCGAGATCAATTAAGCTTGTGATTGATGCTGCAAATAAAAGTCTTTTGAAAAGTGTGGTGAGCAATATGGAACGTCATCGACTAGGCCAAAGCCATTGATGAGTTGCCATTTAACTGCTGGTAGAATGTTTAATGACTGTTATTTCGCACGTGTGTGGCAAAAATGTGCCCACGGTTTTATAAAAATATGCCTTCCTTTCGACTAGGTCGAAACAGGAGAGGGCGAGAAAAATGTGTTTGCCTTATCAGAAGGAGAGGCATGTCGATGCTAAAATGTATTGTCGTAGAGCGGTCGGTACAAGTGATATGCAAACATGTACAAGTGTAGCAGGTAAAATGAGAGACAAAGGACCGAAATGTTTTGCCTTCTGATACACTTCCTGCACATTTTGCTCTTAAACATAAATACCGTGCTTGCTAATGTATGGAGAACAGTTTCATGAAAAGTACTTGTTTGATTTTTTACAACTTCATTCACCAACCTTCAACTTGTTTGGGATACTCTAGCTAAATCAACAAGAATAAACTATTGTATAACTTCTTGCGAAACATGCAATCGAAGCTCAGCTGTTTTATCCCAGCTATAGAGGCAAGGAAACATTATCTTTTGTTAACTGTGCAATAAAAAGAAATACGTTTGCAAAAGTTTCTTCGTACGAATAGGTTTGACCGAGATATCTAGCTCCCGAATACAAAGTGGAAATTGCTAGCCCTACGTATTTTCGTGCCTTAGCTGTTTTTAATGCGAAGTCCGCGGGTCTTTGGAGGGCGCCACTGGGGTGTATCCTTTATTATTATTATTAGTATTATTATTATTAATAATATTATTATTATTATTACTATTGTTATTATTATCATTTTCATTGTTTTTATAAACAACTCATCAACAAATCTGTTACCCATCCATCCAACCGCACCTCCCAATCCCCATCATCTCTACTGGACGTCCACACACCTGTGCGCCCACACCTGGACTGAGCAGAAAGGCGTGTACCTGACAGCCCGCGGCCAAGACATCAACAGACAGCCCAACATTCTCTACATCTCTACCTCTGGAGGCAAGGGCTGGCTCGCTCTGCACGAGTTTGTCAATGTATGTAGTGTTCACTCACTCGTTCGTTCGTTCTTTTATTCACTCACCTTCTTTTTCCTAATTACTCACGGTGGCCTAGTGGTTAGGCTCTCGGACTCGTAAACGTAAGGTCGTGGGTTCGAATCCCGGCAGGGGCCCGACATTGTGTCCTTGGGAAAGGCACTTTACACGAATTTTCCTCACTTCACCCAGGTGGGAATGGGTACCCGGCTATAGACAACGAAAGATCTTGTCAGTTTGTTAGTGTTTGAGCGCTAAATCAGCTGCTTGCACTGTATGCTTCCCGGGAAGCTAAGAATGCTTCGGAGTGTCTTATGGTCTGCTGGGGTGATAATATAGTGTAAAGCGCATAGAGCCTGCTGGTGAGTGGGGATATGCGCTATACAAATGCTATTTATTATTTATTATTTTCACTCACTCACTCACTCATTCACTCACTCACTCACTCACTCACTCACTCACTCACTCACTCATTCACCCACTCACTCTCTCACTCACTTACTCATACATTCTTAATTTTACATTTACATTTTCATTTCCTCCCTTCAGCCTTGCTCACCTTTCTCTCTCTTTATCTCTCTAATATGTAACTCTTATTCTCACTCTCTCTCTCTCTCTCTCTCTCTCTCTCTCTC